TTTTTTTTTCTTTTGACTGTTACATCACTTTAGTGATATAAATTATATTCATAAAAGAAAATATTGTCATCTTATATACATAAATATATGTACATGTATTTTCAATAAAGATAATATTTATGTGAACCCAAAGTCCCGTGTTGCGTTCATCATTTATATTACATGCTGGTAATGATGTTGTTTTATTGTAATAATAAAGAATACAACGGCTACGTGTCGCACTGACTTGGACCTTGTAATGCAGCTGGTCCGCTTTAGGTTTCCATCGTATTCCAAGGGTTTTAGTTGAATGGTCATCTTGAAAACTAAGATCAGAACTAGTGGCTCGCAGATCGTCGGGGATTCGGTTTAACAGCTCTTCACGATTGGAACACCATTTCCGAAGAGAGAATCCTTCCCTTTCGCATAATTGTAACATGTCATCTTGAAGTTTGGCTGCTTCCAAAAGGTCAGTGGCGCCGGTCCGAAGATCATCTACATAGAAGTCACGTTTGGTAATACGTGCTGCACTAGCAAGGTTATTCTTTTCACAGTCTGCTAAGAGATATAATGTTCTGATAGCCATAAAAGGTGCGGATGATGTTCCATAAGTAACCGTGTTTAAACGATATGATTCCAACGGATCGTTTGGGTTTTCCCGCCAAAGAATTTGTTGGTATGACTGACAGTTTTCACTAACATTGATTTTCCTGTACATTTTTTCAATATCAGCTGTGAGAACTACCTAATGTATTCGGAATCTCATTAAAATTCTACGGAGGTCATCTTGAATAGTTGGGCCAACCATTAAGGTTTCATTGAGTGATATGTTGGTGGAAGTTTTTGCAGAAGCGTCAAAAACCACTCGAATCCTTGTGGTAGAGCTCTCGTTTCGGATGATTGGGTGATGTGGTAAAAATACTTGTGGATGTTCCGTCGAATGAATATTCGTCTTAGTCGACAGGGTCATGTGACCAAGATTTTGATACTCACGCATAAACCTGTCGTATTCCTGCTTAAGCTCTGGATTTTCATTTAATTTACGTTCCATCTGATGGAATCTCTTCGTTGCCATGAAACGCGATTCACCCAATAATTGCTGTATGTTGTTACGAAATGGTAGTTTTAACGTAAATCTGCCATTGGCGTCTCTTGCAGACGTCTTCAAAAAATGGGTTTCACATTTACATTCTTCAATACTATATTTTCTTCGTTCCTTTGGTTCGACGACTTCTTCGAGCTCCCAAAACTTCTGTACTTCGTTTTGAATTGAATTATCGCTACTCACCATTGTTGTCATGCAAGAAGTGTGTGGATAATGTGGTCACTCTGTACCCGTCCTGATAAAACCCAACTGAATACAGTTTTTTGCCAAATTGCGCGAGTGCCTGCTGGTTTTATTTGACCGATACATAATAGCTCATCGAATATTTCGGAGCCTAGTATTATATCAATTTTTTTTGTAGAACAAAAGTCTGGGTCAGCACATTCGCCGAGATTAATTGTGTTCATGACTTCGTTGGTTGGTTGTACTGACTGCAAGGTATTCGCGATATTCTGTAATACCAAGAATCTTAAATCTGTTTAATATGCATTAATTCTCGATTTCACAGTAGCGCTGACTTGTCCAACTGTTTTACATGACATACCTGATTCTCCAATTACCGTTGTAGCTGTTTCAGTTATTGGATAACCTAGTTTTATTGCCAGTCTGGTAGTCATAAGGTTGACTTGGGAACCAGAATCCAATAAAACTCTTGCCATAATTAATTTACCACGCACATCAGATATGATAACTAAAGCCGTTGATAACATTGTTACTTCACCGAGGGTTTTCCTCTTTTCTGTTATTTGCGCCTTTAATGCTACTTGGCTCTCTTCGCCATACACTATGCTATCCTGAGTATCAGAACCATTTCCAGTTTCTTCATCAATTAATGCACTGTTCGCAAATGCTTCGTCTCTTTCCTTGTCTTCCAGATGTAGTTTGCTATTGTGTCGTTTGTTACATTTTGAACAACCTGCACTACGACAAGATGATGCTCGGTGACCACCTCGCAAACAGTTAACACAAACGTTTATTGTTCTGGCGAATTTCACTCTCTCTGGCGTTCTCAAAGCTAAAAATTTTGGACATTGATAAAGGGCATGTACTAATTTACACATGGGACATTTTGACTGTGAAATGATGGACGGTTGATGAACCGTGGTAAATGACCGTCGAACTGGTATTGGTGGGTCTTGACACATGATTCTTCCCTGTACTTTAGAGACTTCAATTGCTGCGAGCGTTTGACATCGATGATTTAGACACGTAGTGAACTCGTTCCATGTTGGTACACTTGTGTCTTCTCGTGAAGTTTCCCATTCCATGAGAGATTTATCATCGAGTTTGGAAGATGCTATGTGTACTAATAGCGTACTCCATTCATCCACTGGTTCTCCGATACCTTTTAAAGCTCCCAGGTGTCGACTAAAGGTATCGGAGAAACTTCTCGTTTCAGAGGCTGACTCATTTTCTAGTTTATTTACTGCAAATAATTTTGAAACATGAGTCTGTACTATAAGACGCTTATTTTCAAATCGCTCTTGAATTAAGTTCCATGCAACTAAATAATTCCCCTCCGTTACTTCCAAACTTTCGATTAGCTGCGCCGCCAGCCCTTTCAAAGATAATCGGAGATATTGAAATTTTTCTACTGCAGGTATTCGAGCGTTATGAATCATGATACTGAAAGTATCTCGATAATACTGCCAGTTTTCATATTCTCCGTAAAATTCAGGAAGGTTGATTCTCGGCAACTTCATGTGAGCTTCAACACCCGGTCGATGATTTCGATTGAATGATTGATCAGGTGATTGTAGATCTTGTGATGATAACTCATTCACCACCGCCGCTTGTATGGAAAAAAATTCATTTTCAAATTTGACGTGTTCTTCTTGCTGCGAGTCAGATTCATCCAAACCTTCGATTTCAGTTTGAATAAGGTCGAATTCATCAAACAATGATTCCAGTTTGTCTAGCCGTAATTTCAACTCAGTATAGTTGCGCCTTGTATTCCTTTGGAATGTGTCGAAGAATGATCCGAATCGAGTTAGTTTACCCTTTGCTACACCACGTTTCCGAATACATTATTCAGTCAACTCTGTAGGCGCCATAGTAGTTTTGACTATACGGTATAACCGATAATAGATAGTTAAAATTAGATAAAATTAGAAATTGATTTGTAAACCACGCTCTGCTACCAATGTTGCCCCTTGGCCTTGTTACGATGAAATGATATTAGCGCACTGCCTTGGATTCGACGGGTAGGCAACTTAATGTGCACTGCCTTGGAATGACCGGGTAGGCAACCAGATACAACGACGACGACGCTAGGATGGGACTAAAGATACTTAAAATTACCGGATCAAGGAAGTTGAATTTATACACAGGAATAAGGAAGATGAGTTTAGTTATATGGGGGGGGGGGGGATGTCTTGGTGGTCGGAATCGGTTTGGTGCAATGACCACCAAGCTTACATAAATTGGCGAATACTTAAATCTACCCTTAAGTCTACGATGATGATGATGATGATGATGATGATGTGGATGAAAGCTGCAACAAATGACAGACGACGGCGAATGGACTCGACGACCTTGGCGGCCTCTCACACACCACGGCGGGTGCTGGCGGTCTTACGCATCAACTGATGGCACCAATCCCGATCTCTGGCAATTGGAAAGCACCGTCCTGCGATGTCTCAATGACGAGCTGATGAGACGAGTTGTAGGTACACGATAGTGATACCCAACCAGAAATACAATACAACTCACTTAAATGCTGGTAATGATGTTGTTTTATTGTAATAATAAAGAATACAACGGCTACGTGTCGCACTGACTCGGCCTGTACAGAATTGTATATGTGTCGCAATGACAGAACAGGTAATACAATAATAAATTATACAATTACGCGTTGCCGCAGTGGCAATGAAACAAATAATTCCGCGTTGCTCCAATAACAGAAAAAATATGAAAACAAAATGGTTAACTTCACAAACCAACAAAATAATACTCTCTCACAATTAATATATATATGACGACGATATGAAAAATTTAACGGTAAAAAAAATAACAACAATAAGGGCGTTGGCCGCGTAATCACAACAACATTAAAACAGATAATATGAACAAAAGCAATATGACGACAACGATAACAATAATAATAAATTAATTTATACAGGTGATTATAATTCACATACCTGACGAGTAACGATTAAATGAGGATGAGAGGGAGAGAGATAAGACTGGTCGCCGCCGCTGTACTGTTTTGCATATCGCTTTCACGACAATGTGTCGCGGCAACATGCCGGCCCCCATTAAACCCTTCACGGGTTTAATTGAAATTCTCGTTGACCGGGTAATAAGCAGAGTTTGTGAATTGGTCGTTTCATTTCTGTGGTTGCTGTTTTTACTGTAGCGACACGCACGAGACCATCACTTCCCGTGTGTAGAAGAAGTATTCTACCCCGACTCCATGCGAGTGGTGTTTCATAATCTTCTCGAATCAGCACTAAATCACCAACTTGGAGATTCTCTTCAGTTTGAGTCCATTTGTGGCGTACTTGTAATGACTGAAGATACTCCGACCGCCATCTTTTCCATAATCCTTGGACCAGTTGTTGTACCATGTGCCAACGAAGGCGTGGAGCTTTTATATCTAGGTAATTGGGCTCCGGCAATGCGGTTAAAGGTTTTCCTATAATAAAGTGATCCGGGGTTAGTGCTTCCATGTCACTAGGGTGTGTTGATACGGGAGTTAAAGGCCTTGAGTTTAATCCTGTTTCGATCTGTGCTAGCAAAGTTTTTGCCTCCTGATGATTTAATATCGACTCTCCTAAACTTCTTCGTAAATGATATTTCATTGATTTTACTCCTGCTTCCCATAGTCCACCCATATGTAGGGAATGTGGTGGAATGAATGACCAATCAATTCCAGCTTGAGTTGTGTATGCGTTAATATTTTGTTTGAATTCCCTTGATCCGAGAAAGTTCTTAAGTTGTGCCGCTGCTCCAACGAAATTTCGACCATTGTCAGAATGTATATGTATTGGACATCCACGTCTAGCGATGAATATCCGTAACGCGGCGAGAAATGATTCAGTCGTTAAATCATCTACCCATTCTAAATGTATGGCCTTTGTTGTAAAGCATACAAATAAGGCGATATATGATTTGTAAATATGTTTTGATCTGCGTGAACCGAAACGCACTTGAAAAGGACCAGCATAGTCGACTCCACATACATGGAATATTGATGATGGATTTGCTCGACTAACTGGAAGGGAGCCCATAAGCTGTTTGGAAGCTTGCACTTTCCACCTATAGCATGGGTTACATTTAAAAATTATCTTTTGAATAACACTGCGTAATCCCGGAATCCAGAACACTCTTTGCAAACTAGCTACTATTTGCTGTGGTCCGGCATACCTAACCTAACCCGCCGATGTTCCTTGTCCGCAATTAATTCGACTAAATATGTTGTTGAAGGCAGAATTATGGGATGACGTGCCTCATATGGTTCGTTTGAGTTTTGTAGCCGACCTCCAACCCCTAATACATCATTGTCGTCGATGAATGGAACTAATGATTGTAATTTGCTGTCATTTAAACTGTTTCCAGCCTTTAACTGGGAAATTTCCGATGAAAATGCTTGAACTTGAGTGATTTTTACCCAGTACATCAACCCTCGTTTTAATTCTTCAGCTTTCAAATCTCCAGTCAGGCGGTATTTCTTTTGAGTAACTGCTCGGAATAGATAAGCTGTTACCCGTTGCAACCGTTCTAGTTTCGAGAATCTATTAATGATATCTTGAAACTCCTTTTGGCTTTTGGTGTGGACGTGTAATACCTTAACCGTCTTTCGCTGTTCTACTGGTTCCTCTTCGTTATTCAATAACTTTTGTTTTGGCCATTCGGTTTCTGGTTGTATCATCCATGAAGGTCCACTCCACCACTGAGTACAGTTGACGATTTCTACGACGCTTAAGCCACGAGAAATGAAATCCGCCGGATTATCCGTCCCGTCAATATGCCACCAATCCTGTTTGTTTGTTAGTTCCCGGATTTCTTCAATACGATTTGCTACGAATATTTTCCAAATGTCTGTGGCACCTTCGTTTCGAATCCAGCTTAATACAATAGAGGAGGGCATCTAAATATTAACTCTATTTGACACACCATTGCTATCGTATAAACTATAAATATTTGTTAATTTAACTTATATCTATTCAACAGCTTGATTTAAG